CCTTTACTTACCCTCCTACCCCACCTCCATCCAATCCTCAGAGAGGTTAAGCCACATTGCTTCGGGGAAGGTCCAAGGCCCTCCCTATTTTATCTAGGCTGAGCAACATATCCCTCCAAAGAGAATAGGTTCCCAAAAAGCCCGTACAGGCAGTAAGGATAAATCCTGGTGCCACTACCAGTGGCCCCTCAGTCTGCCCCAGTCATACAACTGTCAACCACATTCAGGGGGACTAGTTTGGTCCTGTGCTTGTTCCTTCCCAGTCTGGCTGGTGTTCATGAGCTCCCATAAGCTCAGGTTAACTATTTCAGTGGGTGTATCTATCATGCTCTTGACCTTTTTGTTCATTCTAACTCCTCCCACTCTTAACTGGACTTTGGGAGCTTAGTCCAGTGCTCCGATGCAGCAGAAAACACTGTCCCGAGTGAGGTAACCCAGACCCAAAAAGATAAATATGGTATGTTTTCACTCATAAGTGGATACTAGCTATAAGCAAATAATATTGAGCTTATAACTCATGATCCTGGAGAAGCTAAGTAACAAGATAAACCCTAAGATAAACATACATAGATCCACCTGGAATGTCGAAATAGACAAGATCACCTGATAAAATTGAGAACATGGGGTTGGGGGGAAAAGGGAGGGTCAAAGGGGAAGAGGAGAGGAAAGGGGGAGGGGCAAGGAGAACTTGAGGGAATGGTATAGTTGAGATGGAGGAAGGACAGAGATGAGATCTAGGGAAGAGATATCTTGATTGAGGGAGCCATTATGGGGTTAGCAAGAAACCTACTCTGGAGAAATTCCCAGGAATTCACCAGGATTACCTCAGTAAGACCCTAAGCAATAGAGGAGGGTGCCCGAATGTGCCTTGCCCTGTAGTCAGACTGATGAATATCATAAATATCACTATAGAACCTTCATCCAGCAACTGGTGGAAACAGAGGCAGAGGAACCTGGGTTTTAAGCATCTATTTTCAAATGCTCATGTTGAGAATCCTCTTCTAATACTCCTTAAATGCTTTGTTGTCAGACACAGAGAACTTTCAGGGAAGGACAACTCCCAACACTGCTCTCAGGAACTAGTTCAGACATATGGGAAATTTAGTTTTTTTATGACCATGCCTGGTAAAAGCTGAAATAGGCTTTGTCACCTGTAGGTAGCAAAGATTTATCTTCCTCCTCTGAATCACTTTAGATACTATATAATGAATCACTTCCCATGTGACATGTATATGAATCACTTCTAGTACTAGACATCCAAGAGAGTCATGTCTATCATTATGGATGTCAGGCAATGAAGCCTACTTGTAAGTGATATAGATTTTGAATTTTTAGACCTAAAAAGTGTTTGAAAATAGTTTCCATTATTGTCACTTATTTTCTTGTTATCTTATTATTTGTTGGTGAAAGGAAAACAGAACAAATTAAATTTTTATGCATGTTTCTTGAGATCAGAGTATGTAGTATTTTAATTTATTTTTAAATTATGTATACATATGGGTTTTGTGTGTGGTTTACATGCATGTGCAGGTTGCTCACAGGTGCCAGAGAGGACCTTGGATATCTTCCAGCTGAACTGCTGGAAGTTGTGGGCCATCTTATCTAGGTGCTGGGAACTGAAATACAGTCCTCAGCAAGTGGAGTTTCTGCTCTTCACCACGGATCCATCTCTTAAGTATCAATAAACATCGGTTACCAGAGATCAGTTCATAAATAATTACATAAGATGAAACATGAGTCCATAGCGGATCTGTAGGCAGTAGAAATGATCTATAGTAAAAGTCCAGTAAAATCCAAAAAGCCTCAAGCATAAACTCACATTATTCTATTATTCTATCTTTCTTTAATTGAGGCTTAATGTTTTTGGGTTTATTTATGCTTTTCTATAATAATTTGATATATTCAAACTTTGAGTTTGTCACCAGATTTACTTTCTTCATATATAAACTCAAATAATTAGATAGATGATTCATGTTTTTAGTTTGTTATATGAATTTATTCTAATTAGTTCCCCTCTTTATGTACATACATACGTACCTACCTACATACATATGTGTATTCATCTCTTCTTCCTTCCTTCCTTCCCTTCCTCTGCTCCCAGCTCAGTCCCTGAGATTCTGAGCTCCTTTTCCCATTTTTAGGGAGAAAAGAAAGTTAGTTTGGACAGGGACAGAGGAGAGAAGTGCTGCTGCTGTCTTAGCCCTACATGGCCTGGAGAGATTCCCAAGTGTGTTCTGGATTTCATCCTCCATTATTGCTTATGAAAAGCATGGCCAGCATCAGCCTTTGCCAGGGACACTCCCAGGGAGGTACCGACCTAGTTTTAGCTCTACCCCATGTTCCTGTACCCTCCACAGTCGGCAGCACATCAGAACAGCTGGTTACCCTAATAACCAATGACTTGCCTACAAATATTTATTACATGAAAGTGATATGATTGACTTTTGATCTGGGCTGTGTGAGGTCATTTCCTGGTTTGCTGTAGATCTTACATGAGCAAGTGAGGAAAATGCAAGACTTCTATATCTGGCTATAAATCAAAACTCTCATAAATAAAAGGTTAAGTATAGGTGGTGACAAACAAAACATGCAAAAGAGCTGTTTATCAGCACCTCGGGAACCTCTTATAATAAAGCACTGGAATTGTTAAATTGTAAAGGAGGAGGTGGTGTGGTACCTCACATCAGCCAGTCACTGTGTAGCAGCAACGCTGAAAGCTCTAAGAGCTGCTTTGACAAATGCAAGTGTGGAAGTCACAGTGGGTGTGATAGAGCGGGAAGGGGAGGGAGAGAGGAGCAAGAGCTCAGGGTCAATAAGTATAAATTTGCATACACACCTAAGCTTCTATAGGACTTTGGCAAGAGCAGACAAACTCACCCCAAATAAAGTCCTATTGCTATTAATTAAATTTGTTTTTTGATCCATACGTAAACACAAAATTGTGCCCATTAATATACACATTGTTCAATGCTTACAAGTTGTGCATATTTATCTCCTCAACTATTTAGCATTTTCAAGGTGAAATTCTTGATAACTGGAGCTCAATGAGAGTGGGACAAAACATTTTGAGATATAGTTTCCCATTACCAGCGATTACTGTCTCCTTGTTTTTCTTGGCTTGGTGAGATGCCAGGTGTGGATAAGTTATTGGTCAGATGTGTTCCAAAGGCCCCTGAATCAATACCATTGCCGATGCTCTTGGTTGCCTACCAGAATTTGATGTTAAGATTCCACTGCTGAAGACACCACACATTTTGAACTTTGAGGAATCTAGTTGGAATTGACCTGGAGTCTCCCTGAAGACTAGCTCTCACAGTCTTCGGAGTTATTATGTGAGCTTCCAGGGGAGAAAAGCAATCAACAGCTCTACCTACCCATGAGGTCTAAAAATCGCAATGGCTAGCAAGGCAAGATAAGCCCATGCCTATAATAATGGTACAAATGCTATCGGCTAACAACCATTTTCTGATTGGTTTTAAGGCCCACTCTACAGAAAGAAACATATCCATATATGATACTGTAAGTCTGTGGAGAACTCCTGCCGTGCTCACAGGAGTGAACTTACTCCTCTGAGGAGAATAAAGGACAATAAAGCAAACCGCCCTTTTAAGTTCTCTTCAGAGAACAGTGCAGTGTGTAGATCTCCTCTGAGAGGTTTCTTTGGGTAGGGGCAGGAGTCAATGCAGAAACTCAAATCTGGTCAAAGCGAAGTGCATAAATGTCAGCCGAATGCTCAGCCACAAATCCCTCCTCAACGCGCAGGTACAATCCTGAAAGGGTGGCGGTTTCGAGTGAGGGTGAGCAAAAAGATCAGAAAAGCTACAGGTGAGGGAGGACCAGAGGGAAGCGTTGTCTCCTGGACATGGCAAGACTGTGGTACTCAACGAACTCAGAGCAGCTGTCGCTGCCTGCATAAGACCGGCACAAGATCAAGCCCGCCATGATTTTAGTATGGAAGAGAAAGGGTTCATGAGTCTTCAACCCGCAACCTTGGAACTAAGCACAATCAATGGCTTCTGGAGGTTGGAGTTTTCTTTAAGAATGTAGTTCTTGGTAGGTCAAAACTACTCCTGTGGATGGCCCCACACTCAGGAGTATAAATAAGGACAGCTCAGATTGGAGTACGGGTTCTTGAAAAAAAAAAAACGGGGGGACACAAAGTTGAGGGGCGTGTGTAGGGAGGTAAGGGTCGAGCTAAGAGGAGTTAAGGAGAGGTGTTGTTGGAGTAAATACGATCAATATACGCCGCATGAACTTCTCAAAGAATTAATAAGAAATGAAACAAATGGATGCCTTTTTTTAAAGGAAAGAAAAGAGGAAGTCCCCTCTCTTAAACACTAAGCGCTGCGTCACTACGTCGTGTGTGATGGGTGAAGGGTGAGGAGGGATGAGCCATAAGGCCATCACTTTCCAGGAGACAGCGGGTCTTGAGTCTCCAAACCACGCGGGGGGCTGTGGCAGCACAGCTGGGAAAACCCGCCCGGCCCAGGCTTGCGGGAGAGTTGGGTATGTTTAGTTTCCAGAGGACATTTGTGTTTTTTTTTTTGAACTCTTCTCTCTCTCTCTTCCGAAATCTGGCAGACGTTAGTCATCCGCCGCTCAGCACGAACCCACAAGTGTGCTTGTGTGGCTCTGCGGGCTTCCTCCCGGCGCCCCGCCCTCGGGCTCACACTGCCTCACGCGAGCGGGTGGAGCGGTCTGCGCACCCTGGCCTGGGGTGTCCTGGGGTCCCCCGGGCGCTCAGCATCCCCCGCCTGCAGAGGACCGCCCCGTGGCTCCGGGCGGGTGTCTGGCGCCGGGAAGAAAGTTGTAAAGCGCTGCGAGGAGTTGGGCGGTCCGAGGAAGGGAGGCGGAAGGGGAGGACTCGGCTGAGTTCCCGCGGCGATCGTGGGGTCCCCCGGAGTCTGTCCCCAGCTCATCACCGCAGCTAGACGTCAGCTTTCCGGCCCCGGATTGGCGCTAAAGATTAGACCCGAGCCCGGGAGGAACTTATCCAGCGAGCTGTCGCCTCGGGCCTTATTGTCTGCAGCAACTCTCCCGAATCCGGAGAGGGAGGACTGGACTGCGCTCCCACTGGGATTTGTCCAGAGTTCCGGCGGCAGCTGTGCCGGCCGCAGAGACTCCCTTTGTCCTCCCAGGACCTCCCTCTCTCCCTTCTCGGTGGCAGCTGTCGGGTGGCGCTGAGCCTGGAGCTAGCGTCCCAGTCCCTTTCAGCCTCTGACCCCAGAGTGAGTCCTTGGTGACTCCGCCTCTTCGCATCTCAGCTCTGCGGACCCGAGAGCCCAGAGGCCGGAGACAGGAGCCCAAGGGGCTGTGAGCCAGTGGGAGCTGCCGGGCCCCGGCCCCAGGATGGTGACGGGTCGGTCCCGGGCGCGCAGCCCTGGGAGCTGGCTGTTCCCTGGCCTGTGGCTGTTGGCTGTGGGCGGTCCGGGGTCGTTGCTGCACGCCCAGGAGCAGCCCTCTTGCAAAAAAGCCTTCGATTTGTACTTCGTCCTGGACAAGTGAGTGAAGGGTCAGGGCATCCTGTGAGGGCAACGCTGGGTCAGTTGGGACTGAAGCTGAAATGTGTTTGGGTTCTGGGGAAGGGGTGTGAGAACTCTCCCTAGGGTGCCCTGTTACTGCTTCCTTTCAAAAAGCTGGGGAGGGTAGTGGGAGCCAGGGACCACTAGGCTTTCCAGAGAGCTGCTTAATTTAGTAGTGGGGTCTCTTGGGAAATGAGATTGTGGTTACTTGCAGTTTGTTTCACCCCCAGGACTTTTTTTTTTTTTTTTTAAGCTCCTTGGTGCCTCTATCACACTCGCCTACACCCCTTTAGACTCTCTTAAGTTTGCCTAATTTTGTCCTGATCATAGAGCTTTCATAGAGCCAGTAAAAAAGCCTTAATATACCCAATGTGGTTTGCATTTCCTCAGAAATGAGAGGGCTTGCGCTTTTATTTTGAAAAGCTGGGTCTCACTCTCAACAATTCACAAGCGAGCTGCCCCCAGAGAAGTGTGGTGGTCTTGGCTTCTTGGATTCAGTCCAGACGGTGAAGTTTCAGCTCCGAACGTGAACCTGTACTTCACTTTGAAGAGGGGCCAGGACCCCGGCCTTAGGAAGCTGAGGAAACATTAGCAGTTTAGCCCTATGTTTTGCTGATCCGTTTGTCTTCTTTTTTCAGGTCCGGGAGTGTTGCGAATAACTGGATTGAGATTTATAATTTTGTCCAGCAGCTTACAGAAAGGTTTGTGAGGTATGTCTTCCCAGCTCATTCTTCTTGGTATTGGAGAGGAAACTGATCAAAAGCCTGGTCTCCCTGTTCTGAAAACCCTTCGTAGGGAAGACTTTTCCTGAAATGTTGACTTTAAAGTGTCTCAAGGTGGCCCTTGTCCACATGTTCCGTGGAGTCTTTCAGCTGTCCCTTGAAGGTTCGTTTCATCTGGCTCCCAGAAACTTGGCCCAGGCCGTGAGGAAACATCTTCAAATGCAACTCTTAATGTCTTTTCCTTTCCCGGTTTTCGTCTGTTTTGAGTTTGACTTATGCTTTCTCATAATTTATTGCATTAAAAAAATAAGTTTTATTCTCGGAGGATCCATACTGCATTTTCAATTCCACACTCTTAGCACCGTAAACGTCCACATTCAAAAGGAAAAAAAAGTGTTGGGAAACTTTAAATGAACATGTGCTAATAACCCACCAACAGAAAAAGCACGTATGTGTGTGTGTGTGTGTGTGTGTGTGTTTAAAGAAACGAGTCGTGTTTACACAATGTGTGGGTGTGTGGCTGGTTTAAAATTTAACTGTTCTATATATGCAGGAGGCTTCACTAGCAAACACTGTTTTCCTCGCCTATAAAAAGCAAGACTGCTAAGAAATCCAGCTTAGTCTCTTATTTAGAAGTAACTAGGAATTAGTGGCATCTTCTATTTAAAAATAACCGTTGGAAACCATGTTTTTGTGGCTCCCCCTCGGTTTTTTGGAAGAAGAAAAAAAAATGCCGGGAAGAAGTGCAAGTTTATCAGGATAATGGAAAGGACACGAATCGGAGCTGTGTCATTAAATATTGCCTCCTTCAGTCTTGTGAGCCCAAATGTTTTCTGTAAAACAGGCTCGGATGATCAAAACATTTTGAAAGTCATGTTGCAAGTAACTTCAAACAATCTGTAGAGGCCTAGGCAATCCCTGCTTTCGGTTATTGGCAAGCAGTAGAGCTATTCCTATAAAAATGTATGCCTGTCCATGTTCAATCATCAGTCTCCCGCGTCAGGAGCCAACGAGAGCACTCTGGTTCCTGGGCAGGCTCTGAGGTAAAATAGTCTAGGAAAGAATAATAAACAAGACCCTGTATCTGCAGCTGTCAAAGTGGAATGGACAGTTGTTTATAAATTTCCAGTTCAATCCTAGAGTGTGCTGGGAATGCCATATAGTGTTAATCAGAAGCAGTGGAGCGTCTCAGTGTAACATCTGACGACTACGGGGCTCTTTTTCATTGAGTCTGGTTTGCAAGTTGGATTTCTATAGCATATACTGTTTTGTGGCTCAAGTTTACTCACTCAGTTACTAATTAAATGTCTCAGGAAATGAATAAAAGATGATGACTGACAGGCAACAGTGCTCAAAAACATGACCTTTGGCTTCGCTTCGTATCTTAGTTTCAGAGCTGAGCAGTATTTGCATACACTTCTAGAAACAGGAGTGACTGTGTACCTGAAGTCTAGAAGACAGATCGGAAAGCTGAAAATGCTCAGTAAAACAATGATTACTTCATGCTTTAAGTATCCCTGCTCTAGGAGGAGTTTGTTTGAACACTTATCATGACTTAAGTCAGGGCTGGCTTCTCTTCAGCCCTAAGGAGTTCATATCATTTACCCAAAGGGCCTGGCCTTCTGCAAAGAGATGATGTAGAAGATCAAAGGAAGAAACATTTTTCTAATGAAAGATTTTGCAGCAGCCTAGAATCCTTCCAGTTGTTCTCTTTCTAGACATAAGCCTCAGGGGGTCAGGGAGGAGTGTTTGAGAGCTGAGAAGCACTGATTACATAAAAAAGAACTGCAACTCAGAGAGCAAGGCTGAGCAGTCAGTGGATCTGCTTAGAGAGTTCCATTTAAGGGAAGCGGGGAGTGTTCAGGGAGACTCATTTGAGATGAGACTCCCTGGCTCGGCCTTGGTATTGTACCAATATTTCTTTTGAAAAATGTTTTAACTGCCTCTTTCCTTATTTTGCAGCCCTGAAATGAGATTGTCCTTCATTGTGTTTTCTTCTCAAGCAACCATTATTTTGCCATTAACTGGAGACAGGTTAGTGCATTATCATTTCAATTCAGGCTTTTAGTCCAGATGAATCATAAAGGCATGATTAATATTGCCGTGTGGTGATTCGGGCCTCTCAGTGGGAGCAAGCAGACACACAGGCGATTCAGTGCTCTGCAGTAACAGAAGGGGGTGGGCAGTATGAGAGACTTGGAGTGGATCATCTGGAAATCAATATTGCTTATATCGATGCAGCATAGAGCCCGGGTGCCTGCCTCAGCTATGTGCTCACTCTTTCCTACCGGCAGCTGTGCATTTTTGTTAGGGAGACGCCGCGTGTGAGTGAAAGAGGAATTTGAAGAAGAAGGAGAGGTGGGTATATATTTGGGTAATTTATTAGGTTTAGTAGATATTCCAGGTTTCCAGTCCTTCTCTGAAGTTCAGTGATGCTGAACATATTTGACTTTATTTGGCACACACACACACATACACGCACGCACACACACACACACATTGCTACTCAGTGCTCTGAAAAAAAAGTGGCTTCCCTGTTCAGTGTCATAGTGGCTATTTCTATGTGGTTTAAATAAATCATGACACTCTGGAAGTAGTCCTTCACATATCTAAATCATGGCTGCCTTTCCTGGGTTTATTTGTGCTCACTAGACCATGAATTCTGTAGTCAGAAATGGGATGTTATTCTTCAGTTCTGCTTCATTCCAGCTAACATAAAGGGAGTAAGGCCTTGGATTCTTGTTGAATGAGTGAGTGAGGTGACTTCATTTTGGAATCAGGTCTTCCTGACTTAACAGTTTTAAGCAAGGGTGTTGCTGTGCTGTTGACTTGAAGGATGTGTAGATTTTGAAAAATAATTGTGAAAATAATTTTTACTTTTGTAAAGCTCAGTTAATATGTACAAACGTTTTCTTGAGCTTTCAGTTTTGAAAGATCAAAAAAGCATAAAGGGTTCAAGGAGATAACTTTACAGTTCATGGAGTTGGTTAGGAAAATAATATATATTATAATGTGTGTGTGTGCATTGTGTATGTTTACATGTAGCTCTTGTGTTAACTTTTTCTTTTCCTGGAGAGGAAACCTCTCTCTAGGTTGTGAGTTAAGCTCAGGACTTTACTCTCCTCATTAGTACTTTGCCTCTGTAAGTTAAGAGATACATAAGGTTCTCAACAATTGCAGTTCCTTATAACTCACTGCTATAAAGATTTTTGGTTTTATGAACAGGAGATGTTTTTACTGACCAGTTTAATTTCCAAAGAGTCAGGTTTGGATCGAGCATGTCAAGGAAGAAAAACACAGATTTAATATTTATGACATTCACACACACATACACACACACACACACACACACACACACACATATGCACAGTGCCAAGCATGTTGCGGACTCAGCAACTGATAGCGACATACATTGTGCCAGGGTTTCTGCTAGGCACTTTTTATATGGGTCCCCCATCACTCTGAAGATAAAGCATAGTCACTGGCCGCCCAGCTTGGTAATGTTTAGACAATGTGTGGCGGAGATTTGAATCTTTTATCTAAGCTCAAAGTACATCCTTTGTCAGTGGTGAAATCCGATGCAGGAGGGACTGAAAGAGGTAAAAGAAGAGACTTTTAAGAGGCGACAAAAATTCCACACTTCAGTTACTGTACTAAGTCTACATGAGTTCGAATCCTGCCCCTCCCAATTACTGGTTGAGTGTCCAAAGTTAAGTTGCTTAAACCTGAGTTCCTCGTGACTAAGTTTTTCTCACCTACATGAGGGTGGTAATGAGGACAAAAGTGATGCCGACCTTATAAGGTAGTTGCAAGAACCGAAGGTAATGACTATGAGAAAGGATCTCGTAAGTTAGTATTCATTAGACAAAAGAGTTTTTGATCTGGGAAGATCCAGTCAAACACATGCATGTAAGCACAAAGACTTGAGTTCCATCCCTAGATATTGTGTAAAAACAAAATGCTGGCTATGGTGGCGCACTTCTTGGTACCAGCAGTTGGGAGGCAGAGGCGGGGCATTCTCTGAACTTGCTGGATAGCAAGGGAAGCCTAGCCTGATCAGCAAGCTTCTCACTAACAAGAAATCCTGTCTCAAAACAAACAAACAAACAAAAAACAAAAAGAAAACCAGTGGCTTGCTTCTGAAGCAATCCACCCATGGTTGTCATCGGTCTTCCACACACGTGTGCACACACAGAATGAGACCCTTACACAGTGTCAGCTTTTCTGTCTCTAGAACACAGCTCTACAATCTGCCATGTTTTCTTAGCATCATTATGAAGATCTAAATAAGACAATAGGTAGAACAATACTTTACCTGTCATAAAACAATCTCCAGTAAAGGGGCTAATTTTTACTAAGTTGTCAATTTCTAGTTCTATTAATTGAATTGGTATCAACTTTCTATGACTCTCTGTCTTTGGCTATAGAATCACTCCACAATTGTAAATTGAGAGAAACAGTTTTCTTGTTGAGATGGGAGATCAATGGGGAACTGATATCAAGACCCATGTGGATCTTATTATTGAAACCTAGAAGCTGTACTCCTCACCGCTAATAAACTTTCCCCAGCATATGTGTTTGTGTGTGTCTGTGTGCGCGCACACGCGCAAAAATGGATCTAAGTGTATGATTTCAAAAGCAACAGTTAAGCAAAAGAAAAGCACAGAGAGTTTCACAATTTTCAGTACTTTGGCAAATACAAGAAGTAGTTCTTTCATTTTTTTTCATGGTTGCTAAACAGATGAAGCAAGATGGGAAGGTAATGCGCACAGACACCACGGCTGTGTCTTCTGTTATGATTTTAGCATGACGGCCAGTGTCATGGATATTCCTAAAATCTTAATTATAGCAGACAAGTTATACAGTTTGTATACTTACTGCTTAATATTTTTATTATGTTAAATACCTTAATCTGAAGCACACTCACCTTTCTCTTGTCCCCATGACTTTTATTTTTCATTCACCCGCTAGGCCATAGACTCTCTTACTTATCTTCCTGCCTGCCTGCTTTGTATGTGGGATTTGGAGTCCACAAAGATAGTGATGTAATATATATGTGTGGGGACAGAGACAAAGAAGGAGGGGGGAGGAAGAGAGAGAGGGAGACAGAGAGTCTGTGTGTCAGGGTGTGATTGTACACATAAATAACCAAGAATTCTATTAGCAGGTTAGGGGAGGGGCAGTATTCAGCATGTAAATATGTAGCCTCTCAGAATATGGAGTCAGAATGAATTTTGAGAATGTTACTAGTGACTATTTTGCACAACTGGGGATAGTGATTTTTTTACCCAATTCTGCTCATCATTGTTTAATTCTGTGATAATGATTTTAACGAAAGCCTTTGTTGAGCAATTCTTATTGCCAGATAGTCTTTAAAGTGCTTTCTCTGCACAGCTTCTGTTAATTCCAACATGTGTTGTGTACTTTAAGATGGGTCATCTATCTGCTCTAAGGACTCCGAGAAGTATATGCCAAGCAGTGTGTTAACCACGTGGCTCTTTAATGTTAGAGTAGATCAATCATTCTCATGCCGAAAACAGTCTAATGATCTAGAGTAGAAATAAATGCCTCCAAGTGTTGTCTCAACTAATTGACCCCTGCTTCTCCCCCCTGCAATTCTCCCTTGAATTCTATGATCCTCTTCCTATCTACATCATCCTCTTGCACTCTGTAGTCCTCTTCCCATCCCTGTCATCCCCTTGCACTCCATGGTCCTATTCCCATCCCTGTCATCCCTTTGCACTCCATGATGCTATTCCCATCCCTGTCATCCCCTTGCACTCCATGGTCCTCTTCCCATGTCCATCATCCCCTTGCACTCCATGGTGCTCTTCCCATTTCTTTCATCTCCTTATACTCCGTGGACCTTGTCCCATCACCGTCATCCCCTTGCACTCCACGGTCCACTTCTCACTCCACAAACAAGTCAAGCTTATTTGCACATTGATCCCCGGCTTCTTTCTCTAATCCAGGTCTTCTCTGAGCTCTTGTTCTTGTCGACCTTCTTTTCCTGGTCTGGGAATATAGCTCCATGGTAGAGCATTCAGGAATATGATCCTGGGTTTGATCCTAGTATCTGAAACAAATGAATAAATGACAAGCAAGCAAAACCTCAAACCAACCAATCAAATAAAAGCTCATCTCACGTGTAACTTAGAGAAGTTTTGCCTTGTCTCCAATCTAAGGTATTACTCCCCTTCCCCAATATCTCCTAAAACACTGTTAAATCATTATTTTAAAAATATTTAATTATTTAATTAATGAGTATGTGTCTCCCTGAGCCTAGAGTGTATGAAAGTACAGGGTCCTGGTTTGTCTCCTTCACTCAAATACCCAGCCCGAGAACTGAGCCTGCTACAGGGTAGAAACCCAACAAATCTTTGTTTAATGACAGAATTCTTCTGATGCCAGAGCCTTAGTTAATAGCTTAGAGCCACTATAGTAAAGTACAGGCCAGTTATGCCAGCAATATAAATATAAATAAAACCAGTATAATGTAAATACTGATTCTATCGGCTACATTTCCCATTCCTGTCTTACAGGAGAGATGTAAATGCTCTTACCTTCCTTTTCAATATCTACATTTGCCTCAAATTAGGAAAGTCTTGTCTACCCCAGCTGGTATTTGGAGTTTGAGCACCAGATAACTTAGGAAAATTGTCCTTATGCAAACTTGTAGAAACGATGGAGGTCATTTAGTTAAGTTTATACAATAGTCTCATTATTTCAGTGAGTTTTTTCTAATTCCTTAAAAACATAATTAAATATTTACTTGTGGGGAAGTTGTTCTTGATACATAGTTGGTAACTCATAAGTTAGCACGTCATTGTTGCAGACAAGAATTGTCAGTATCTCTAAAAGTAAAGTTTCAAATAAAAAATTTCACTTTTTGCACAGACCCAGCAAAGACAGATATAGGCACAAAATCAGAACTAAATAATTATTTGTAATAATGAGAAACTATATCCAACATATGTGCTCATCAATTGATGATATTTTAATACATTGAGTAGATCAAAATATTGATATAGTAT